CCGCGCCCCCACCCCGCCTCCTTCAAGGTGCGCCTCCCCAAGGACAGGGTCCCTAGACAGGGAGGAGGGCCGCCCAGGGGAGGGGAGCGGGAGGCTGGTCCCTGAAAAATGGCGGGGGCGCCGGGGAGACCCCCGCGGACCTCGGGGCTTCTTGCCCCTCCACAGAGCCCGACGGGCGTCTGGAAGTGCAGGAAGAACTGAAGTAGGGATCTGGCCAGAGAATGGGCCGAAATCACCGCCAGCTGCTTTAAGTGAGATGCAAACGAGAACTTCCCGACGGTCGGGATCCGACCTTCTAAGGCCGCTAAAGCCCGAGAGCAGGAGGCAGCATGGAGGTGTGGGATCTGTAAGGTGATGGGCGGATTACACTTTAAAGAGTCCTGGGGAAAGACCTGGGTCGAATGCGCACGTCGTTCCCCCCTGCCCTTCACACCTCCAGGGTTGAACCCTGAGTCTGCCTCATGGAGCGCGCGACCCCTTTGCTCTTGCTCCCCAGATTCAAACTCGGATCGCGAACGAAAAGTACCTGAGGGCCCACAAAGAAGTGGAGCTGCTCATAAGTGGTTTCTTCAGGTAAGTGGTTTTCCAGACTGGCTATGGGGACCCAGGGGAAAATTCTACCAAATCTCGTTGGGGAGAGGAATTTGAGTGCCCTTTTTTTTCTTTAAACACTCGGTATTGCTTCTAACTTACTAAACGTCAGAAATTATTGTAAGATTGGATTTTTTTCTAACTCTGGGGTTTGCGGCACCCAGGGCTTTCTTCAGCTATCTCTAAATTCTTACAAATATTAATATTCTGGCCGGACGTGGTGGTTCACACCTCTAATCCCAGCACTTTGGGAGAGGGAGGCAAGAGGATTGCCTGAGGTCACGGGTTCGAGACCAGCCTGAGTAGCATGATGAGACCTCGTCTCTACAATAAATTTAAAAATTAGCCAGGCTTGGTGGCCCGTGCCTGTGGTTCCAGCTGCTTGGAAGGCTGAGGTGGAAGGATTGTCTGAGCCCAATAGGTCGAGGCTGTGAGTGTGCCACTGTACTGCAGCCTGGGTGATAGAGACTCCGACTCAAAAATAAGACAAATTAATATTCTGGCTCAAGCCTGTAGTTCCAGCACTTTGGGAAGCTGAAGCGGAAGGATTACTTGAGCCCAGGAGTTTGAGTCCAGTCTGGATACCATAGCCAGAACTTGTCTATACAAAAAAATTAAAAAGCCAGGCATGGTGACACGTAGTCCCAGCGTAGTCCCAGCTACTTGGAGGCTGAGATGGAGGGATCTTCTGAGCCTAGGAGGTCGAAGTTGCAGTGAGCCATGCCTCTGCACTCCAGCCTGGGTAACAGAGTGAGACCCTAACTTAAAAAAAATTAATATTAATTTATCTTAACTGTGGGGATAAATACATACCTTATAACACTCAAAAGAGGGAATTGAAGCCAGGCTCGGTGGCTCAGCCTGTAATCCCAGCGCTTTGGGAGGCTGAGGTGAGTGGATTACCTGAGCCCGCGGGTTCGAGACGCACCTGGCTAACTTGGCGAGACCTCTTCTCTACAATAAATAAAAAAAAAAATTAGCCGGGCTTGGTGCCTCAGCCTGTAATCCCGCGCCTTTGGGAGGCTGAGGTGAGTGGATTGCCTGAGCTCGCGGGTTCGAGACCCACCTGGGCAGCGAGACCTCATCTCTACAATAAATCAAAAAATCAGCCAGGTGTGGTAGTGCATGCCTGTAATTGCGGCTACTTGGAAGGCTGAGGCGGAAGGATCACCAGAGCCCAGCAGGTCGAGGCTGCAGTGGCCGGGAGCGGTCACTGCACTCCAGTCTGGGCGACAGAGTGAGACTCCACTCAAAAAAAAAAAAAATTAGCCGGGCGTGGTAGCATGTGCCTGTAGTTCCAGCTACTTGGAAGGCTGAGGCGGAAGGATCGCCGGAGCCCAGCAGGTTGAGGCTGCGGTGGCCAGGAGTGGCCACTGCACTCCAGTCTGGGTGACAGAGTGAGACTTCAACTCAAAAAAAAGAAAAAGAAAAAAAAGAAAGAGGGAATTTGGCATTGAGAAAACTTTGACTGGCAGCCATTGGATGTATACCACTATTCTCAACCAGAGGAACTGAACAAAATCCCTAGTAGAACCCAAAAAAAAAAAAAAAAAAAAAACCAGATGTCTGGCCCTTTCCTCCCTGAGAACAACATGATAAAAACAAACTCCACAGGTTAGAAACCACTCTTTTCTTGGGTGTTTCCTGAAATGTTCTTTCCTTCCCCCACGCTGCCTTTCAACCTGACATTTGCTTGAACAGAAAAATCTCCTAACAGGATGACAGGCAAAGAACTGAAGAAAAAAATAGAATCGTAGTGCAGCAGTGGATGAAAAGCATTTGTGCCATCTCAGAGGCTGTTTGGCTAAAGACAAGTAGGCAAGGTTCAAATAATCATAATAGCTTCCATTTCCAGGCATTAAGTTATTTCCCTACATGGGCCCTTATCACACTGTATTGTAATTGTGCTGTCAGTCTCCTGTCTCTGTTACTGGTCCAGAGCTCTGGGCTGATGGAGGAGTCATGATGGTGACCCCGGTGCCCGTGCAGTGTGTGGCATCTTGGTACACTTTTGCTGATCCTCCCAGAAACTCTACCAAAGATAGCTTAGTATCATTTTTGTTTTACGGGTGAGAAAAGCTTAGCTGGGAGAGGTGAAGTACTTTCCTCAAGTTGCCTGAATTTGGATTCCAGCCACTATTTTTCCACTGTATTGTGCTGTGAGCACACAGTTCCCTGGCTCCCCGGGTTGTGTGGGCTTTGTGGTTATAGCCAGTGGGGGTGGGGAGGGGTGTTCTCCTTTGTCACCTCACATGTAGACCTGTAGGAGTGTCTTTTTGTTTGTTTGGGGTTTTTTTTTGAGTTGGAGTCTCACTCTGTCACCCAGACTGGAGTGCAGTGGCATGCTCCCAGCCACTGCAGCCTCGACCTGCTGGGGCTCCAGCGATCCTTCTGCCTCAGCCTTCCAAGTAGCTGGAACTACAGGCAGTGCTACCATGCCCGGCTAATTAGGAGTATCTTTTTTTTTTTTTCCCCAAGGCCCCTTTGTTTTCCTGGATCTCACTATTCCAGTGAGCTGTTTTAGCTATTTCTCCAAGTGACAGCAGACCCTCAGGGGGCAGATAGGGAAAGGTGACAGGGACAACGGAAACCAGTTATTCTGTGGAGGTTGGGCACAGAACCAAATTATTTGTAAAAATAATTTAGGGGTCTTCTGTCATTGTCACCTGGGGATAAGGTCATTACTTTTTGCACCTTCTGAAGGGATATAAAGATGACATCGTTCCCATCCTGGAGAGCGAGCAATCAAGTTGGACATAGTTCTGGCAGAGAGATTGGGGATAGGCATTAAAAGCCTGAATTAAATCAATGTTTACATTGTTCACAAGCATCAGAATTTGGACGCTTGGGGGTGGTAAATGAAGAGGGTGTTGTTTCAGTCACGTGTCAGAGATGGCCCTGCTTCTCTGTCCAGGAACAGTTTACAGGAGGAGACTGGGTATCTGGGCCTGGCTGCTGGGGACAACCCAGACACCTTCCCTTCCCTTTCTTACCATCCCCTGCTGGTGTGGGGAGGCACTAGGCTTTTCTTCTTTTGCTGTCCCTGAAGATACTCTACTTGACATCCTTGATAGGCCGCAGTGGCTAAAGCCTGTAATCGCAGCACTTTGGGAGGCTGAGGTGAGGGGATTGCCTGAGCCCGTGGGTTTGAGAACAGCCTGGACAACTTTGCAAGACCTTGTCTCTGCAATAAATCAAAAAATTAGCCGGGCATGGTAGCACATGCCTGTAGTTCCTGCTGCTTGGATGGCTGAGGTGGAAGGATCACCTGAGCTCAACAGGCCGATACTAGGGTGGCTGTGAGCATGCCCTTACACTCCAGCCTGAGCGACAGAGTGAGAGTCTAACTAAAAAAAAAAAAAAAAAAAAAATCCTCTGGGCCTCTTTAGGCCTTTCCCTTTCCTGGGTGGAGTTTGAAAGGGGATGAGATTTGTGACCCGCCTGGGCAGGCAAGACCTCATCTCTACAATAAATAAAAAAAAAATTAGCCGGGTGTGGTAGTGCGTGCCTGTGATTCCGGCTACTTGGAAGGCTGAGGTGGAAGGATCGCCCGGAGCCCAGCAGGTCAAGGCTGCGGTGGCTGGGAGCAGCCATTGCACTCCAGTCTGGGCGACAGAGTGAGACTCCAACTCCAAAAAAAAAAAAAAGAGAGAGGGGATGAGAGTTTGAAGTTTTAGAGTTTTCTTTTGTTTGTTTGGTGTTATTGTTATTTCCTTGGAAGGGTAGCAGGATGATCCAGAATCAGCTCCTCCTCTGTGCGGGATGCTCACATGCTCCTTTCCTGTGAGTCAGGAGGGAGGAGAGGGGTGGGATCCTGAGCCACTTGCCTGTTCTTTCTGTCCTGTAGATCTGTGCTGTCAACTCTCTCCAAGCCAGGGAAACTCTGCAGAGTTCTTATTGAGACGTGACCTCCCCACTTGGGATTTTGGATCCTAATGATTTATGGTCGTTAAGCCACACCTCTCCAGTCTATTCTCACTAATAGTGTCCAGAACTCTTAATACATTGAAGATTGGACCTGAAAAATAGAAAGTGTAGGAATCTAACTTATTTTAAGCACCCAGAAACCTCAGGTTTGGGGCTGGAGGTGTGATAGCCACGTGCGAAACTGTAGAAGGACTTTATTAGGTGTTTTTGTAAATACCCAGGGAGATGAATTTTTCCAAAATACAGCACTGAGCATGTTATTCCTTGGCTGGAAAAAATCTTCAGTAGCTTCACAACATTGCCTTTTTGGGTTTGTTTTTAAACACTCTATTGAAATATAACATACTGAAAAGTGACATATCCTGGATGAAACTTCACAAGCTAGAAACACACATGGTTCTAGTGTCCAGATGAAGAGATAGAACCTACCAGCACTTCAGACCCTTAGTAGCTCCTTCTAGTCCATTCCCCCCAAAACACTATCCTGGCTTCTATTAGCCCAGGTTTGTTTTGCTTTTTTATGTTTCATATAACTGGGCTTCTACACTATGTGCTCCTTTGTACCTGGTTCCTTTTGCTCAGCAGATCCTTTGTTTTCACTTCTATATAATATTCTACTGTGGGCCGGACTTAGTGGCTCAGTCTGTAATCCCAGCACTTGGGGAGGCTGAGGTAAGAGGATTGCCTGAGCTCAAGGGTTCGAGACCAGCCTGGGCAACTTGATGAGACCTTGTAACTACAATAATTCAAAAAAAATTTGGCGGGCATGTTGGTACATGCCTGTGATTCCAGCTACTTGGAAGGCTGAAGCAGAAGGATCACCTGAGCCTAGCAGGTTGAGGCTGCGGTGGCCGTGAGTGTGCCACTGCACTCCATCCTGGGTGACAGAGTGAGACTCTGACTCAAAAAAAAAAAAAAGCATATTATGTGACTACACCATGTGTTCCTTATTCATTTCCACTGGCTTTTGAATCGAGTACAACCATGTCTCCTCAGCACTCAAGGGCCTTGGTAATAGAGCCTCATAGTTTCCCACTACTCCCTGCACGTGCCCCTTGCTCCAGCCATGCTGAACGTCACTGAACATTCCACTGACTTCATGGTGCCCACACACAGACACCCCTTGAGTGCTCTTTTGATCATTGGGAATACAAAGGTGTACACAACCCAGCTTCTACCCTTAAGAAAGTCACAGACTATAGAACATAAACGGTTCTATTTCTGGGCCTTTGCTGGTGCTGTTTCCCTGGATCTGGAATGTTCCTGTCCCAGCCCTTGTCCTGCCTATTAAAATCCCATATATATTTCCAGGGTTCTCTCAATGCCAGCTGCTCTGTGAAGATTTTTGGGATTCTCCTTTCTGGCCTCTCCCCGCTCTGATCTCTTAGAGCACTATTCAGTGCCTCTCTTTTAGCACTTACCAGAGGTCACTTGGCTTTTTGAACATATGGAAACTCGCCTGGTCCCTTTTCCTGACTGTAAGTTCTTTGAGGAAGGGCTATATTTGTTATCTTTTTAAAAAAGATCAATTGCTCATATCTGGTGCAATTACTTACACATAATTTGTGCTCAATTATTATAGAATTGAAGAAGCGGGACAGAATTCTTGAAGCTAGGCAGGAGCTTCCTGGGAGGGGGAGACCTTGGTCGGGAGAACACGGATTGTGGAGAGCACTGGGCCCCTTTTCCTTTATTCACTAGCTTTGTAAACTTGGGCGAATGATTAACCTTTTGAAGGCTTGGCTGCTTCATATGTAGAATGGAGGCATCATAATTGCTATTTAGCAGGTTTGCTGTAAAGTGAGACAATGTCTGTGAACATACTTCATGGACCATAAAACCCTATACGCCGTAGGACATTTTCAATTCTCCAGTGGCCTGGTCACTGCAGGTGTTGCCTCTGTGTCTGTTCGCTGGGCCGTGAGGCCAACACCCATCTGAAGTCTATCTTTCAGCTGTTTGTTGTCTGCCCCTCCCACTCCCAGGAACTCATGGTTAAACATACTCAGAAGTCGTGGGGTTGCATATCTGCCCCCGCAACACGCGAGCCTCCCGGGACCAGCTGCATGTTCTCTGCCTCCTGCCCCCGGCTTGGGATATGGCTCTGTGAGAGTGGTTGTTGAATGAATGACAACCCCGCCAGGCTTCAGCACGGCTCTTTTGTGAAGTGAGCAGTATCCTATAGGTATATTGCCATTTAGGGTGCTTCACGCCTTGCCTTAGGTCCCCAGGTGAAGGAGATGAAGAGTCTTTGTCAGGAGAAGCTGACTCACGCCCAAGATGGGTGTGTCTCAGGTGAATCTGCTATGAGAAAGCACAGGACCCTGTGCAGAAGCTGCAGCTGCCTTAACACTGTGTTACCTTCTGCCCTATCCCTTCATGTTTTCCAGAGAAATTTTTCTGCAAAGACCAGACAACATCCTAGAATTTGCTGCAGGTGAGTACGGCAGCATCCACTTTGGGCATCTGATGAAACCGCACAGGAGTGTTACTGTGAGCCTGGGCTCGGCGAAGCCTGGGTTCTCCTCGCAGAGACTGGGGCACTCCTTCACCTGTGATGACCCCCAAGGGAACTTTCTTCAGAAGGCTTCTCTCTTCCATTGTCACTTCCTCAAAATGAGGACAGCTAAGAAATGAGGCAGACCTTCCTGGTGGTGAGAATTGTTAAGAATTTTGAGATTCCCAAAGGAACACACTGGCAGCTTTTTCCCTGGGAGTCTTAAAGCAGGGTTCTCAACCCCCCTGCACGTTAGAATCACCTGGGGAGCTTTAAAAAAAAAAATACTGATGCTCAGGCCCCGCCCCCAGAGATTTTAATTTAATTAGTCTGGGGTGGGGCCCAGCAGCCACAGTTTTCAAGGCTCCCCAGCTGATTCTAATGGACTGGCTGCCTGAGATGGCTTAAGGTCAATGGTATTTAGAAGGAGGGGGCTGGGTTGGACAATTTCTTGGGTCCTGTCAGCCCAGAGTTGGTTACATCCTCAAACCTCAAACCATTTCTAACTGAATCTAAGTGCGTCTTTGCTACCACAGCAGATGCTGCCTGTGAGTCACATTCTGCTGGGTGTATAAAAACCTTCATCTGTCGTCATCCTGCAAGAGCCTGGCTCTCCTCTGAGAGGGTATTCTCAGAGAAGGCGTGATATCTCAGAGACGGGAGCTGGCAAGCTGGGTTGAGACAAGAATAATACTTGGCATTTGTTTGGGCCCCAAGATGGTCCAGGAGCAGAAAACCTGGAGAATCCCTGAGCCCTCTGATGGCTCCCTGTTCGTCAGAGGGAGTGTCCTGTGTGAGCCCTCCCAGGAAGCTGCTTAGGTGGGGGCAGTGACCTTGGGATTTGTTATGGTGGCTCACATTATCAAATTACATGGGAGAATGGGGCCACCAGCAACGGTCCTGCTAAGACCAAGCCATCCTAACTTTTCAACAGAGTAAGCTGTCTCCCTCCCAGAGTAAACCTCTTTCCCTTTGGGTGTAGATGATTTCTTTTTGATTTTTATCCCAGACTATTTTACGGATCCAAGACTTCCCAACAAGATTCACATGCAGCTAATTAAAGACAAGAAAGCAGCTTAATTAGCAAAATCATGATGCTCAGCTGTTGGCAGAGACCAGACAGAATCCAGCCTTGGGTATGTGTTAACCTCGCTTCTAGAGCGACTTCTGTACTTTTGTGAAAATAAGCACTGGTTTATTGGTCCAAGGTGGGAAAGAAATCAGGTGGAGAAACTTAAGAGAAGTTTGATGCAAATGTTTAGTTTTCTTGACACTGTTTTAGGGAATTAAGAACTGTGAAGAGAAGCCCAGGGATGCTACAGCTTGTTGGGAGCAGGAATCTTCCTAATTCAGTGAAATAGATTAAGGGAATAGGAGTAAGAGTACAGCAGTTCAGGGTAAAGAAAGGGAGGGGCTGGGCATGGTGGCTCATACCTGTTATCCCAGCACTTTGGGAGGCTGAGGTGAGAGGATTGCCTGAGCCTAGGGGGTCAAGACTAGCCTGGGCAACTTGGCGAGACTTCGTCTCTACCATAAATCAAAAAATTAACTGGGCGTGGTAGCGACTTGGAAGCCTGAGGTGGAAGGATCCCCTGAGTCCAGCAGGTCGAGGCTGCAGTGGCCATGATCATGCCACTGCACTCCAGCCCGATAGACAGAGTGAGACACGGACTAAAAATAAAGAGAGAGGACAGGGAGATGGGGAGAGGCTGTTAGCATCAAGATGGTGTTCGTGCAGATGGCCTTTCCCTTATGACCTCAGTTGGGGTGGAGGGTTCTGTTGCTTCTGGTAGGTAGGTGTGGGGGCAGTTTCCTTCATTGCACCTTGGACTGGGTGCTTTCCTGCCATATCTCACCTTCCAGCTGGACTGTGCCATTAAGGACATCACTTGTTTTGCAGGTAGAATGATTGCTGAAATGATTTTAGAAGCTGGGATCTTTAAAAATGTGAGGTGGGAAAAAGCTTCGCTCTCAGTTTAGCGGAACTACTTCTGTTTTGCAGGGTCATCTGGAAGCCTGAGAGCCCTGTCGCCGTCAGTGTGGGTTTCCAAGCTGCCTTGGGCTCTGTCTGCTGTCGCAGAGGCTTTTAAAGATGCTCATTAAAAACAGACCTTCCTGCTCTCTCTGCTTTCTTTCATTCGGAAGGAAGAAGTCATCCTTCATGGGAGGGCTGCTGGCCCCAGTTGATGAGTTGGGCAGCAGGGCTGTCTTTCTTTCAGGAGTCTCTTGCTGGGTCAGCCGCTCACTCCCAGGGCCAAGACTGGTAAAGAGAATGGGGAGGGGGTCCAAGAGGAACATAGCTGGTCATGGAGCACAGAAACAAGTGAGTTCATGCTGCAGCGGTTTTGGTCTTTTCTTTCTTTCTTTCTTTTTTTTTTTTTAAGTTGGAGTCTCACTCTAGACTGTCGCCCAGACTGAAGTAAAGTGGCATGCTCCTCGACCTGCTGGGCTCAGCAGTCCTTCCGCCTCAGCCTTCCAAGTAGCTAGAACTACAGGCGCACACTACCACGCCCAGCTAATTTTTTAAAAATTTATTGTAGAGATGAGGTCTTGCCAAATTGCCCAGGCGGGTCTTGAACCCACAGGCTCAGGCAGTTCACTCACCTCAGCTCCCAAAGCACGGGGATTACAGGCTGAGCCACTGAGCCTGGCCGGTTTTGGTCTTTTTTTTGTCTTACCTCCTGGGTTACTGTACAGAGTGAAGGTGATGATTAACTTTTATTTCCATAGAAGCAATAGTAACAGGAATTGGGTTGGAAGGACAAGAGACTGTGAGATTAGACATAAGCCATTCAGGGCCAGGAATATTGTGAAATATGAGCCCAACAGGTGACTAGGGCATGTAGACTTGGTTCTAGAAGAGTTTTAGTAACATGCTGCCCATCTTTTGACTTCAAGTAAGAGGCAGGGGAATGGACCAGATGGCCATGTGGAGTCCTTTTCAAGGCTAGGAGGCCTGGGAGACTTTCGTGTTAACGTCCTGCCTCCCGGATCCCCAGGCTCCACTGTGGAGAGAACCTCTCACCTGTGTGTCACTTGTCAACATCACCATGGCAACGGAAGCACAGACCAAAGCAGGGGTTGTATTATTTTTATTTCCCTTGTCTCTGCCTGCCTGGTTCCCAGCTGCCATCACCTGCAGTAGTAGAAAGGGCAACAAAACGGGGTGTTTAAGGAATGATTAAAACTACACATAATAAGCTGTGGATAGGCACCTGAGGAGTTATTTTAAGTGCTTTCAGAATCACACTTTGGCAGCTATGGCACTGACAATGAGATATCCTTCTTTAGAAAATCCAGATGAAGCCTTCAGCAAAAATATGTGTCTACGAAGGCCTGCTGATGTGAAGTGTTATATTAGATGCCGATAGAACTTTCCTGGGAGTAGAGACCTGCACCAGTGTGGGAGAGAGCAAAGTGTTCTTCCAGATGCCTGAGTGCTGCTGGTTTTGAACCTGGGAGCAATGGCTCATTCTTGGAGGGATTTCCTGGTAGAAATAAGAAATACGTTTCTTTGAAAATATAGGCATTTAAGCTGGGCGTGGTGGCTTAAGCCTGTAATCCTAGTACTTTGGGAGGCTGAGGCAAGAGGATTGCCTGAGCCCAGGGGTTCAAGACCAGTTTGGGCAACTTGGCAAGACCTCGTCTCAACAATAAATAAAAAAATTAGTTGGGTGTGGTGGCGTGCACCTGTAGTTCCAGCTACTTGAAAGAGGCGGAAGGATCGCCAGAGTCCAGCAGGTTGATGCTGGGTGGCCATGAGTGTGCCACACCGGACTTTAGCCTGGGCAACAATGAGACTCCAGCTCAAAAAAGGAAAAAAATAAAAATACACACACACACACACACACACACACACACACACACACACACTTTTAAAATACATTTCAAAGCCTTCCTGAGTAAAGAATGAGTTCAGCACATCTTCGTAGTGCATCCACTTTGAGCTCTGTCCTGGGGCAAGGTAAAGGTAAAGACAGTCCTGCCGTAGAGTTGTTTCTGTGCTGGGGAGGACTTTTCTCCCATAACTACCTGTCTGAATATCTCAACTACTAGACTGAAAGCTCCATGAGGGCAGGCACCAAACCTAAAAGTCTGATTTGCTCACTACTGAATTCTTGGCTCCTAGCAGTGCCTGGCAAATAGCAAGAGCTCGGCAAGCAACTGTGGGGAGAATGGATGTATGTAATTGAGCAACACATTCCATCAATTGCTATAATGGCAATTTCATACCTGTGATGAAAGTAGGTAGGTAACAGAGGAGGAAGTAGAAGAAAAAGCGCCAGGTTTGCTAGAAGAGTGAGGAGCAGTCTCGCGGGAACTGGCATGTGATGGATGAGAAAGGGTTTGTGGCCAGGAGTGGTGGCTCATGCCTGTAATCCCAGCACTTTGGGAGGCTGAGGTGGAAGGATTGCTTGAGGCCAGTAGTTTAAGACCAGCCTGGGCAACATAGACCCCCATTTCTAATTTAATACACACACAAATATTTATACAAGGAGTGCAAAAAAATGTACACACATTTTCAGTCTAACATTCGCTCAAAAGATGGTGTTAATTGAATGCTAGCATCACCATGCAACAGGCAGGACAAAGAAAATGACGGAAGCACAGTTGAGCGAATGTCATACTACACATTGCTGCCATAATTTAACTTTGAAAAGTAATACATAGATAACATCTCTTAAAATGTGTATGCATTTTGGCACCCCCATGTATATACAGAGGGTCCCAAAAAATGTATACATATTTTAAGAAAGGAAAAACTATTAAAATTGTAATACTCAATATATACCAATAACAAAAGATGAGTACAAGTCACATTTGACTTCTGCAATTACAAGAGGTGCTCAAAGTGGTTACCATCAGTGTCCAGACACTTCTGATTATGACAAACTAAGAGTAACACATAAGCCGGGCTCGGTGGCTCAGCCTGTAATCCCGTGCTTTGAGAGGCTGAGGTGAGTGAATTACCTGAGCCCGCGGGTTCAAGACCCTCCTGGGCAACTTGGCGAGACCTCATCTCTATAATAAATTAAAAACTAGCTGGGCGTGGTAGCACACACCTGTAGTTCCAGCTACTTGGAAGGCTGAGGCGGAAGGATCGCCGGAGCCCAGCAGGTCGAGGCTGTGGTGTCCGGGAGCAGCCGCTGCACTCCAGTCTGGGTGACAGAATGAGACTCCCACTCAAAAAAAGTGTATACATTCTTTTGTCTATATATATGTATATATACACATGCACACACACACACATATATAAAGGCTTTGCTAGGCAGACCTGGGAAGAGGCTTGGGATAGTCAGAGCCTCTTAGGTGTTCCCGCTCTGCTAAGCAGGATGGTGTGGCAGGCCCCCTCGGACCTACTCACCCTCATTTCTCTCTTCTTTGCTAACAGAACTCCAGGTTTGTTGAGGGCAGCAATGAACTCAGCCCCAAGCAGCAGATGGAACTTGATCTAGGCCAGCCATAACAATGGCACTCCCTGATTTCCTAGCCTTCCTTGCAGCTGGGGGCGGCCCTTATTTTTTTTTTTAATTTTTAAATTTTGTTGTGTGTTGGGGTCTCACTCTGTCGCCCAGACTGGAGTGCAGTGGCACGCTTACAGCCTCTGCAGCCTCTACCTGCTGGGCTCAGGTGATCCTTCCATCTCAGCCTTCCAGGTAGCTGTAATTACAGGCATGAGCCATTGTGTCCAGTTAGGGGGCGGCCCTTTGTCCATGAACTGTAGGTAGGGTGGAGGGCAACAGATTGAGTGGTGTGGTCCTCCCCCTTTCTGATCAGGCTCTGAATGTGATATCTAGAGCTGACAGCCATGAAGTGAATGGTGTAGGCTGAAAGCCAGTCCTCTAAGTTGGCAGAGAGAGATCGGGGGACCCTGCGGCCCTGATGGCATCTTTGAGCACTTGAACAGCACAGTGATTACCCACCTTCAGACTTCTTGGCAAGTGAGAATGGTGAACCTCTTTTGTTTTGAAATCAAAACAATTTAAATCTTAATCTGCCACTCACTAGATGTGCAGCCTTAGCTAAGCCACTCAACTTCCTTGGGTTTTAAGTTTCTTTAGGTTTCTCACCCGTAGAATAAGACTTGCAACACCTGCCATAAAGAATGGGCAGTGGCTGGCACATGGGAGGGGCTCACCAGGGGCATGACCCATGGGAGAAGATGGCAGACAAGAAGGTGGGACAAATCAAAGTGTGCTGGGCAGAGGAGGGTGGACTTTGATCACCAAGGCAGTGGAGAGCCAATGAAGCGTTTGAGCCAAGAGGGATTCATAAAGAGATTTGCGTTGGGAACATGTAATGGTGCAGAAGACAAATTAGGGGGAACTAAGACTCGTAATGGAAAGACCCGTGGGAGGCAGTCGTAGCTGTCCAGGCCACTGCTGTGTCTCTTCTGCCCCTCTTCGGTCACTTCTTACCCAGTCTTTGCTGGTTCTCCTGTCCAATCTGTCAGTTGAGAATGCACTTAGCTGCAAGTAACAGAAAGTCCAATTTATAGTGATTTAAACAAATAGAGGGTTATTTTTCTCTCTTGTTTTTTTTTTTTTTTGAGTTGGAGTCTCACTCTGTCGCCCAGACTGGAGTGCAGTGGCCGCTCCCGGCCACCGCAGCCTCGACCTGCTGGGCTCTGGCGATCCTTCCACCTCAGCCTTCCAAGTAGCCGGAATTACAGGCATGCGCTACCACGCCCGGCTGATTTTTTTATTTATTGTAGAGATGAGCTCTCGCTACCCAGGCAGGTCTCGAACCCGCGGGCTCAGGCAATCCACTCACCTCAGCCTCCCAAAGGTGCAGGATTACAGGCTGAGCCACCGAGCCCGGCTATTTTTCTCATTTAATAAGAAGTCTGGTCTAGGTGCAGTAGCTCATGCCTATAGTGCCAGCACTTTGGGAGGCTGATACCAGAGGATTGCCTGAGTCCAGGAGCTCAAGACCAGCCTGGGCAACATAGTGAGACCCTGTCTCTACTAAAAAAAAAAAAGCTGGGTGTGGTTGTCATACCCGTAATCCCAGCACTTTGAGAGGCAGAGGTGAGAGAATTGCCTGAGCCCATGGGTGTGAAACCAGCTGGGCAACTTGGTGAGACCTCGTCTCTACAATAAAAAAAGTAAGCCAGGCATGG